CGCCGCATAGCCATGAATACAGTGAACTAGTATATACCATGAATGAACTCGAGGTGGTTAAAAATGGGAAGTAGACCCGAAGCGCAAGCCGTAAGAGAGTGTGCGTGTGCCACCTCTCGTTTAGTCCTTAGAATGCCCGCTGGTTGGCGGTGCTTCTATATGAGGATTATATGATGAAACGATGTGAGAGGGTGGTACTTGGAGTGTTGAATAGATGGACGAACGGACACGCTGACAGATGCATTGATGAACGCATGAACGGATGCAGGGGCGGATGCATGGACGAACGCAGGGATGAACGCATGAACAGACGCACGCACGGACGGGCATGGACGATCACACAGACGGAAGAATGGATGGAAGGAAGCAAGAACAAATGGACGGACGAATTCTTCGTCCCAATCTCCATCATTCACTCCGTGGACATGCTGCCATTTTTTATGTTGCTGCTGTCTCTCGGGGAAGTTCCTTATTACCCTGACGAATGAAGTGTCACGACTAGCACGATGGTGTGAAGTTAACCTGCCTATGCGCTTTCCTTTCGGGCAGCTTCTCCGTTGGGTATACGGAAAGGGCAGGTGCCAGAAATCCACCTGTTACATTCCAATTCTACGAGAAGCATAACTCGTACAATTTCTCATGGCGGATTCCACTGCTTTCTTCAAGCTTTCTGGTGGCGATGGCCCGACCTTCCGTACAGGGAGTCGGCGCTTTTTAAAAAGTTCCCGCCCATAATTTCCACAAACAAAAGCGATTTGGGCGAACTTTCTTGGTCCATGCCAGGCAGGCCAACAGCAGTCCGTCAGCGCGAGAAAAGAATTCACTTGGGCGAGCTCTGGGGACATGTCAACTACAAGATGATAAAGTAACGAATGACGTGGCACCCCACATTACCAAAAAATGGTAGCGTACGTACATTACTTGTTACAGAATTGCAATCAGTACGTTACCAAGCTGCCAAAAAAGCTACGTATAAGTAGTAACGGTGTTACTTTTAACTTGTTACCGAAAACACTGACTCTTTGTTCATGCGTTGCTTTGTGCTATAATGTTTTTTTCCCTTTTGAAGTCATGAACCAACTATCAGAAGACAACGTTTTGCTAAGGCCAGCTGTGAGTGATGCAAGTACTACCTTCAGAAGCTCTTTGGCAGGCCTGCGGGAAGTCAACGCTCCACCCAAGAAGAACTCTCCTCTCACGATCAGACGTGTATTAAATCCTACTTCACCTACATTCATGACGTGCGCCCTTTGGGCCAATAAGTGGATTCCAAAATGTCCGAGGCAGAGAAGGTCGCGCATGTCATTCAGGGGATAGCAGATGATGCCTTTCACCTTGTATTCAAGAACTCATCTGCTGTGCAAAACATCATTTGAGAACGCCAGTAGTTAGAGGATGCCAAGAGCCACCTGTGTTCTTAGTCAGTCTGCACGCCTACTTAACATGGCTGCTACGTCGACCGGCGAAAACTCCCACTTGCCTTCGACGGCAAGTTCCAGTGGTATTCTCGGCGTTGTCCGCCGAAAGTTTGAAGCCGTAGCTCGGCTCACATTCGCTACCTTCAACTCCAACAACTACGACGCATCCGTATAAATAAATCTGTATCATAAATTTGCCATTGTAGACTTGGAAAACAATAATTGCAATCATCAACTTGAGTAAACTCCACCAACTCCCTCTGTCGCCGTCACACTCAACCGGCGCTTTCTAGCTTCCATACGTTATCGTTAAAGGAGTACTGACATGAGCTTCCAAACTTTTCGCATTTCTGCTGTAAATAAAAGCACTTGTATTGAGAACCCAGGAAAGAGTATTCCGGTGCCTTGAAACGCATTGAATTTATTTTTAATATCGCTTTTTTTAAACGCACTTTCGCTATCGATTTCGGAGGAGTGGCTTCACAGCGACGTATCAAGTCAGGCTGACGTATGGCTCATTGACGTGGGGACTGAGACATTCGCTGAAAATCGTGACGCACCAATGTAGCTTTATTGTCTGCTGAAAACAGAGACGCTTGCGTGTGGGCTCTGATGCTGGATTTGCATCGCGATGTTGTACTGAAGCAGGGTAGAGCGTGGGCACAGCTTCTGGCTCCAGATATCGCTTCTTTGCAGCGCGCTGCCGAACTCAAAAAGGTACCGATGGTTCCCCATCCGGTAGCAGTTGGGGCTGAAATGCAGCGAGCACATTCAGCTTCACTTGGCTGGCGTCCAGTCGCAGCTGCTAACGTGACGCACAAAATCTACCCACACTTGTCTCACCACTGGGTCGTTCGGGAAACTGGGCATACTAACGTCGTCCCCGGTCTTAGAATCACAGCCTTTGACGGCACAAGGAGTGAGTGGCATCGCGAATCAGGGATTCAGTGATCGGAAAAACAATGAAATCATACTCGCATTTTTTCGCAAACAACAGAGGTGTCTTAGCGCTCGATCACTGTCGATGTGACCACGAAGCGTCGCAGCAAAATGGACAGCACACAGCACAAACACGAATGACGCCAGTCGGCGGTGCGCCGCTAGACAGGCAGTCGAGAAGGTGCACTGGTCGCGGTTTATTCCATTTTAGTTTTGTCGTTACCTCAATGCGCGCGCATTTACATGACGTCACAATTTTCTATGCACCTGGATTGAAACGTCAAGTGCTGTGCCTGATGGTGAAGCTGCCTTGCAGAAACCGGGAGATAAAAATTTTAAAATAATTTAAAATTTTGTATACGTGTTTCTCGGTTTCGGTGTAGGGAGAACGTTAACACTACATTCCAAGAAAAAAAAAAGCGTCCGTTTTGCCCCAACTTAAAATTATGTCAGTACACCTTTAACCGGCGGAAGGACGCACACGAGATGATCGGCCAATAAGTTTTAACTGCGGTTTACCCCAGGTGGTCTAAATTTCCGGAGCCCTCCACTACGGCGTCTCTCATAATTATATAGTGGTTTTGGGACGATTAAACCCCACATATCAATCAATATGTTTTAACTGCGGTGATAGAGGCGATATTTCTCGTCACTGACGTTCTTGTTGCGATTCGACACCATAGCACTAATAAGTTACAGTTTCTGCGTAAAAAACATATAAAAAACAAGCACTCGTACATAACACCTCAGTCAGCCCACGATTCTTTGCCGGTGTTTTCGTTGCGTACACTTAGAGCACCTGACTACTAGAGGAAAAAAAAACGCCAGGCATGCGCGGAACGGCCAACACTGCCAAAACTGGAAGAGGGGCTTTTCTAGAGAATTTTTTCTTCGGGTAGCTGCTACAAGCACACTTGCAGGGTACCCACTACATCATAAATAATATTTTTGTGAAGTAGGGAAGCATCCATTGTGCCATCCATCATTCTTTCGAGAAGCGTGGTAGTCACTAAACACTTGCAAGCAAAATTTTCTTAATATTTATTTTAAAATATTTAGGGTGTGACGTCCCTAAATCATCCATACGATTATGAGAGATGCCGCAGTGGAGGGCTTCAGAAATTTTGACCACCGGGGGTTCTTCAACGTGCACCCAAAGCTGAGCACATGGGCCTACAGCACTTTCGCCTCCACCGAAAACGCAGCCGCCACAGCCGGGATTCAATACCGCGACCTGCACGGGGTCAGCAGCCGAGTGCCTTATAGCAACTAAACCACCGCAGCGAGGTTAGTCATTTTTTTATGTTGCGGCTGATGAGAATGAAGAATATGCTTAACGCAATTTTAATGGGTTGTAGCATTTGGCAACTCACTAGTTACGCAATTCGCATTGTGTGACGCGTGGTTGTTCCTTTGCTGTTCGAAAACGCTTTGTTACACACATTAACGCGATTCTATTCTCGACATGAAGCCTGCTTGGGATCATTTTCCAACGAGGTTTGGAGCACCGGCGTACCTCAGTGATATTATACTGTGCTCATACGCAGGTGACCAACGTTTGAACCTCATTCATGTCCTGCGTGCTTTTATTTACTTCATTTTTTTCCCATTCGCACGACAGTGGCTACGGACACCAGCAGCGGCGATGGCAGTGGACGCCTACGGCGCAGTGACACTTGTTGTTATCTCATAACAGCATTTACTGTACGAAACGAGACTGATGTCTCCGTCATATGGATCGAAAACGTTTCCCTGCAGAAATAGTTCATATTTTCTGTAAAGTGATATAAGAGCTTGCAGAATGTCTCTTGTTATTTTTACTTGGATAAACTCACGTTGGGGCTTCCTGCTTACGACTAAGATCCATGATCAATGATTGAATAAACCTTTGTTCTAATGAACACTTGTAGTCGGAAACCTTTGTAGCTCTAGTAGTAAAGAATGCAATGGTAATTAGAGAAAACGGTGTGACGGTCAGAAGAGCATTGCTGACGGGACGCAGAACTTGAGCAAAGGTCGGTATACCACCAGAGTTGACCATGGTGAGACTAGAGGGAAATGCAACGCACGAACTGCTTGTCCTATGGCGTGGCCACGGTATTCACAAAACAAGCATAAGCGTGGAAAGCGGCGTTGCAGCCAGGAGAAACAGATGGGCGCCACAGTAATATTTTTGGGATGAATGAATGGTAGGAGCGAGGCCGACGTTTGGACTAAGGTCGTCACCTCGTAGTCTGTTATGATTTTGACAAAATTGCACTTTCCTTTCGGAAAAGTGACAAAAGGAACGAATGCTTTGCAATGATGTGTTGCAGGTGGTAATCTCAATGACTCCGGTCATGATTCATCACTTCCCCGCCAACAAAAAGCACTCTGAGATGAAAGTATTGATATAAAAGGAGCGCCTGCAAAATCTCCACTGTATGTGGCCTATGCCGCCGTGGATAGCGTGGCCGGCTGCTGCTGTTGCGGACCGAGAGGTCGTAGGTTCGACTTCTAAAAGCGAAAGTTTTTTCTTCTTTTGGGGTGATCATGCGAATTTTGTCATCCCCATTTCCGTGGCGAAAATGTTTTACGAAAGTTTCGGTGGACACCACCATAAAACATGTTCGTGCTAAAGAAACAAAAAGGTTCCGGACGATATTAACACAGTGCCGACCAAGGTAAGGTATATTCACAAAAACTTTTCGGCCTCAATATGGCACTCTTGTTCACCAAACAGAAAGGTTCTCCTCAAGTTTCAAGGACAGTGTCTTTTTTCTGAGCGGCAGAGGTCTCTGTTGTAGACGAAGTACTTTTCTGGTCCGCACAGGAGGTGGAAAACGTAGAAACAAAGTGACTTGATTTCGTGTATTCTTCCCTCCTTTGCCCAAAGCTCGCACGCTGAAAGAAACACGAATAATGCGTTTTGGGTTGTGAAGCATAAAAAAGTCTGTACACTGTTTATAAACAAGTACGCGTGCAGTACAAACCATTGTTACGGTGGGGAACCCTCAGGATGTCGCAGTTTTCGTACTCCGAGAAGGCTATGGGGAACTCCAGAGAAAACCCTTTATCTACATAGAAACAAAAAACAAAACATACAGGTTTAATCAAAATTGACAGAAAACTATCAATAAAAACAATGAAGGACGCATGAGCTTCGCCTTCAAGAGTAGGCCGCAATAGCGTAATTAGTCCCCGTGGGCATGGCCTTCTGAACATGGTAACCTCCTTCAGATCTTGCTGCAGGCCTTAACCGTGCCGTAAGGAAATGGATAACTATGCGAGTGAAATTTACCGTCCTAAATTATCGCTGAACGCCTATTGCCAACAGATGTAGTGGTTAAGTGCCCACTACGCCATATTTATTTCGTTTGCGAATCAGCGAATATCCTCCTACGTGTCCGTGGGGCAACACAAAAACTCTACGGAGCTCCTAACTTTCGCTGTTCGCTCAATATGTCTTTGTGCTTTTTAAGGAGTGGACCTTCCAAACACCTACTCATTGCTCGATTAACGACTTTTGACGCCTGGTGCGATTCTATGTTTATGCCAAATATTGTAGGAAGAGTTGGAACGACTATTCCAGTACATCATTCATATTGAGCTTCAATCCAAAGCATTTTAAGCAAATTCTGTGGTTTTCTATTGACTGTGGTAAAACACCTAATTGTCGCGCAGATTGCTGGAATTCAATCCTCACTGGGACCCTAAAATGTATATCATTTGATTTAATTGCATCTATCTGGATTGTTGGGTCACGGACAAGATAAATATATTAGCTCACAACTAGCGACGCCAACGCTGACGCCAAAAATAGCGTGGAACGAGCTCTAAACTGATTCAATAATTGTAAGGCATTCTCATGAGAGTGGGGAGCAGCTTCTCCTTTCAACTTTGCATTGTTCCGAAATCACTGCGTAGGACCAGTGTAGTAGCAGTAAGCCGAAACTTAAAGTATGCCTCTGCGTTTCCAGATGGACATAAACTACATAGCTAGTTTGTCTTGAGAAAAATTCTGGAAACGTATCTGGTTGTAATCAAGCGAGTGAGATAGAAATATAGAAATTATTTACAAAAAAGGAGAGAGGTCAACCTGAGCTATAGCCTGCTCTGGCCTGCAGTAGGGAAAAGGAACGTGGAGCGAAAGAGTAATGAATGGCGATAGTGAGGTGTGGATAAGAATATAGTATTGTTACGCTAAGACAAATATAAAGACGTGCCTTCAGTCCAGTGTATTGTAAGAATGCTACAACAGCTCCTATAACCGCATTTGTACTGCTGATTTTTGGTCATAGATTCAACAGAACTTAATTGGTGCACGGTTTGCTAAAATATCATCTAATCGAATATATCAATTGCTGACGTTCACTTGCGTACGCTGGAGAGTCACAATATTTTTTGTTATGTGAGTTCGTGTTCGTGGTAAGTCACAATGGCTACAATCGAGACCTGTGCCACTGCACCTGATCAAGTGGGTTGTGGCGTCTTTTAAACGCCACTCCGAGACGAATGCCGTGAAACTTGCCTGTGATGTCTTTATTTAGCTTGGGAGGCATAATCGAATTTCAGTTTTAGTCCCATTTGTCCCGCTGCTCACGCCGGCGTTCCGGTTTCTTCTAGTGCTTGGAGGTGGAGTGGCGCATTACGCATCGTAGGCATTTGTAGGCGCATCACGCATCGTAGGCAAGTTGTAGCAAACAAGTTCACTACAACATTTCTGAACTCAAAAGAAAGCGATTCTGCCACAATGCTTAGTCAGATATAACCGAACATGCTGCAACCACAAAATATTATAGACGATTCACACTACAGAATGTGAAAGAGGAAGAAAAATTTGCAAGTATACCTACATTCTGAGCGAAAGCTCATTGAATAAATCACAGACAGCGGTATAGACGCCTAAGTGTTCCACTTCACGTCAAATATATTTGATCTAATCGAAGACGTTTCATTGCGAGTGTGTTCAACTAGAAGACTGAAAATGATTGGTTGTGGGTGTGCTGCATCTTTGTTGCATGGCTGACGCTCAACGTTTTGCTCCAAAGTGCACATTAAATGCTCGAGAAGCTGCCAGATCACTTGTTTATGCATGAACCACACTGCGCAAACAGAAACAGGGCCCCAACTACCACTACAAACTGCAAGGAAATTTCACTTTGGCTGAACTATGTGCAAGTTTGAATTACATATACTAGAAATCATCTTGAAAAAAGCAGCAAAGCTAGCAAAGACAACGCCCTTTTGCTAATACTTAAGTGGCACATTGTGGTGGTTTTCTGTGACGTAAGTAGAGCAAACACCACTTCCACGGTGTTTCAGCCCATCTTGAGCAATAATGGATACCACCGTATTACAGATGTCATGACGGGGAGTGATGCGTTTAAGGTCCGTAGCCTTTTACTCGAGTGGCAATGACGACTTCCATCACTGTTCCCAGGCAAATGGGTTCGCCCACAACCCAGTGCACTCCATGATGCGTGCAATTGTTTATATTGAAAAGAAACTTAATACAGACCGCACCGCCAACGTTATTATAATTAAGCTTTCTTCACCATGTGACTGATGTTTCTAAAAGTCGTTTTGCGCACACGGATCTATCATATGCACACACTATGGTATCAGCAATATTCACAGCAGACAGACGTCGACCTCTCTAGCTGGTGCTCAGCATGCTTTTACCGCGTGCCCTTACCTTTCGAGTCTGATGCGTGAATCACATTCGGCTCAGTGTACCCCTCAGATGTCGACGTCCACGCGTAGATTGTTTGCGTCTTTCTGTTGAAAGAGAGACCATGAATGAGTGACACAGGAGCTTTCGTAACAGCGGCCCTGCAACACTTTTTCAAGCCTTCATTGAATGGCGTAAGTAATGACCTTTATTACCTCTAGGATCGATCGAGAGTATTTTTTAATCCGTCTTGCGAGCTGGCGTTTCACAAATTTGTGGCACACTGCAATCACTTTTTCCTTTCTCTCGTCTTGATCAGTGTGCTAGAAGCTCAGCAGGAAGTGATGGAACCGGAGAAAGTAGCTTCGTCGAACGTGCATCATGAGCTTCAGCAGTTATAAATATATATTTTTCTGAAGGTGTAGCTTGCCTTCATGTGATCGCGAGTGCAGCTATGGGGGGGGGGGGGGGCACGTGGTGGCCTCTCCTGGCGGCCACAATTTCATGCAGCTCCGGTGCTCAAATCGGCCGATTGTTGTATATTAGGGTATATCACGCTGTCAGTTGGGTTTACGGCATAATTTGTTAGGCGAACGATTTTTTGGTAGTTTTGAGAATTTATTGTAAATGGCAGGCCGTGTGATGTGCTCTAATGTTTGATTCTCATGCTATCAAGAGAGTTTACTTCCAATACGCATATGTTGTTTGACCAAGCTTAAAAGTGATGCAACACCCTTAAGGGTCGTAGCAGTGCGCTGTGAGCACCAAGCTGTGGTGGGGCGACATACCACAATGACTGACATGAGTGATCACAAACTCTACTGAAACATGAGGTATTCGCGCTGCAAACACTTTTTCGTCAGTCACCCTTTGGTATACCCATAAATAACATGCTCATTTCACAGAATTGTTCTGGCAACTCAAGAAAAGGACAGCTCAAAATGTAAAATAAAATAAAAAAAGCACGCTGGCCACTGCAAGCTACAATGGCTGAAGATAACTTACTCTGTTCCGTCCTTCACACTGATAGAGCCCATGGTGTTTACTGTGTATTTTTCTTCCTCGTTGACGGAGATCAACTCATTATATACACATTTCCTATCTTCTCCGTAGAATGGCTCGTCTTTGTAAGATCTCATATACAAGTAGTATCTTCCTGGTACCGTCAGTGCCTGAATGAAAACAAAGACAAGTACTAATGACAGTAAGGGTTCTTTCCACATCCTGCGGGGCGTATCACGGCACACGTTTTGAAGCCTCAACACACAGGCAATGCCATGCCTGCCTCTGTGACCACGCTCTTGCGTGACCTCGCATTGTGTAATATGTGGGCTTCATAACTTCAGATCCGCCGCTTGTTCAACAGTATGCTATCATCTCTATCAAAAAAACAAATTGACCCCGTATCTGCATGTTTCACTGCAAATGTCGTCGAAAGACGATAACTTGCGTGTAGAGAGAGTGACAAAACGTCTATTTTATGTTCTACGCGAGAGAATTGGTGAATTGTATTCTGGAAGCACTGCATTAGAGAGTCGCAATCCGTGCAGCGAGGGCGAACGAGTGCATCGAGGCACGTTATAGACACGAGCGCTATCTGACAGATACCTACTAAAACGAAGGAAGGCGTACATGCTCACGGAGAAAGATGAGCACATGTCACGGAGGCAATTTGTAGAACGCAAAGCGACGGGCGAGTGCCACCACCGTGTCGTCTTTGCGAAACGTTGAAAATACTTGCCTTTTTGAGCATTGCGTTGCACTGTCAGCGCAGCGTGTTAAACGCTACGGTCCTTAGAATTACTTATGTGTGCCTTCTCTAGTGTAAAGCCACACATACAAAAATATTAACGTGTTGTTATTGTGCCTCAGATGTGCGCAATAATCTATTTTTAATTCACAATCGCACAAGTACGAAAGCTGAAGCTTCAGCAATATTGGTGGGTGCTACGTATGGGATTCGCCGTTTAGCGTGTCGCTTGGTGCCGTTTGGGGCATCATTACGACGAACAATCAGACAGACAGACAGACAGACAGACAGACAGACAGACAGACAGACAGACAGACAGACAGACAGACAGACAGACAGACAGACAGACAGACAGACAGACAGAGAGACAGACGGACGGACGGATGGAAGGACAGACAGACAGAAGACAGACAGACAGACAGACAGACAGTCAGACCAAAATGTTTACGTCGAAGTACCACGAGAAAGACTATCGTCTTTAAAATTAGTAATTACAGGGTATCGCAGCGCGTGTCCACGCACTGGGTGACACTGGAAACACTGTATAGCGTGTCCCAGCGCACTACAGCGCACTAATAGCCACTGGGACACAGTCTACTGCGTGGCCAGTGCTGCCTAGTGCGCTGAACTGCACTGGGCAACACTGCAAAAGTGTGCCAAGTGTCTTACAGCGTGCTGGACGGGAATGACGACGCGGTACAGTATCTGTCCTACACTGGAAACACTGGCGGCCTTCGGAAGGAACTAGGCGCCCTCTGCGTGGTGAACTTTTTAGAAGAATCCATATTAGATCGCGAGATGCCGAGCCTATTATTTATAAAATATTTTCAGAATATCATTATATTCTCTGTGCTACACATCTTGCTTCAGTTTTAGAATACGCGATGAATGTGCGTGTGCGCTAAAGCAATCGTCTGTCGAGCACGCACGCGCGCACTGTCTCTGTGATTGAGTGCCATCAACGTAGTTTATAAACCACACTAAACAACCGATGCTTCGTGGCCAGTAGTATTAGTCTGATAATCAAAAAACAACCTACAACAGCAGTCAGTCTCTTCATATGGGCTCACCAGCAGCACTTAGTCATTGCAATGCCACATCTGGGCGTTTTTAGCTTCTGGTCTGTGCAGTCCAACACGCAAATATGACTTCGCTTGGTTAAGTTAGCATTGAAACTGAATTTTAACGGTTACTAGACTCTTCGTATTTGAATATCCACGATCGTCACAGCGACCATAGCCAAAAAATATGGCAGAAAATTTCCTGAAACGGGTGTCGAAAATAAAGTATTCAGTCAACAGTTCAGATGCCCATTGTTGTCTACATAGGTATGAAAATCGGTTTAGCGTGTAAGTGCGATTGCCACAATACATCTGCGATTTCGCTAATAAGTTTTGCGGAAGAACGTGCCAAATAGGCCTTCTGATCTAGGACAGTCCAGAACACACAAACTAACAATTTTCTGTGAGGTGGTTGTCAGTACGAAATGAAGACAATCATCACTTCTAAGCGAGTAAATAAGAAATATTGACTACCGGAATCAGTTAAAAGAGAAAGAAAAAAAATGCTCTATCTCGTTTTCCGACTGTGGCATAGCGGTAACGTGTCAGATTCAAAATATTCAAAAAAGATTCAAAAGTTTCTTCTTTTATTAGTTGCAGAGATCGTAGACAAGCCACAATGTGCGCCATGCCAACATTTTCAGAAACTAATTAAAAGGCCGATTTCGGTCGATAAAGGGTGTCCGAATGTGCAGCGTGCCCAGCGTTACTGTACTTAGCACGACACTGGTCGAATAATCAGGTGGGATAGCGCCACTGGGTTTTCCGAAAAGAATGCCTTGGTAAACGCTGACAGGAGCGTTCTATTGTCGGAGCCGCTTCGAACAGCCTTTCGTGTCACGCGTATTTTTTTTTAATTCGTCCCTTGTGCACTTTGTCTACTTTATGACCGTTTTTTTACTCGGTATCTCTGGATGAAATTGTCAAGAAGTACTGGATAGTTAAGAAGTGGCCATTTTTTTTTCTTTAAACGGGGAACAAAACGACAATCATATCTTCCATGTTTTGTCCTATTACCTTGAGGAAGGCCAAGCTACGCGCCATAGGTCGGACCCAATAAATGGTGCTTTACAGAAGTGCATGACGACTTTAGCAGTAGCCATCCAGCCATATCAATATTCATACAGTCGTTAAGTCTAAGTCACCCCCACACACGCACAGAACATAAATATCTAACAAATTGAACATATTCACACTAAACCACAAGTGTATGTCAGAGTAGCTGGATGATAAGTGAGCTAATGTCTAGCACCATAGACCAGAACACGACAGATTCGAAGTGCGTCCCCATAGTTGCATCCAGTGCTGTGCCATCTATTGAAAGCGTGGCAAAGCAACCCCTTTGGGCTTCCATAGACAAATTCTCAACACGAAGGCCCTACACAAAGACCCTACACAAAGCAAACGCATAACTTGCGTAACTCAGTTCGTCGACGTTTTTATCGAAGCCTCAAGCAAACCTTGCTCATGCATGACGACCACGCTCTCAGTAGGTGCTGTGCAGGTTGCGTAACGAACCTCGTCAGGTGCTAGGCTGTTACATTTGTAAAATACGTCCACGCTATTATTACGTGGCAGTAGTAATTAGCTTGCAGTTTTCCTAAAGACAGAAAAAATAGTTTGCTGTCGCATATTACGAGTTGTGCACAAAGATTTGTGAAAACTCACCTTCTCGTGGTCCATCGTGCAATGGTTAGTGTATACTATTTGCAGGTAGTTACGCGGGCCGCAAGTTTGCTCAATTGGCGCTGTTACAAGCGTGTGTTTTGCTCACGAAAGCATACAGCCGGAGAGTATCCCCTAGAGTGTCGTTCATTAATTCGTTTTTAAAGCTTTCTGCAGAATTTTAATCCTGTAACGACGATGCGTTCCAAGCAAAGCTGTGCTAGTGTTAGTTAAGCTGATATTTAAATAGCCGGAATCCCGCTGTGTTTTATTAAAGATGTGCGGTGCAAACGTTTGCTGAAAATCTAGCCATTAGAGATAGCGCCACGCCTTCGTCTGTGGCATAGGCGTAGTACGTTGGCGTGAATACTGCTTACTTGCTAACCGTGCTGTCCATGCAGACGCTTCGTGTGCAAATTTCAGGAAGGTGTCCAGGAACGCAGTACCATTTAGTACTTTTTGAATGCGCAAGCCTGTTATATTGAAGACACGCATGCCATAAAAAACACTTCAGCAAATATTAATGCTTTGAAAGTACATAGTGAAACCCGTAGTGTGCTTGCTTGCGTTTAAAAGGACAACCTTGCACTGCATTTTTGTCAAAGCAGATGCTAAGAGGTATCGGGTGCTATGAGTGAGCCCCCACGCAAACTTTAAGACGGCCTTCAATCCAACTGTATGCCACGCAAACTAGATTCGTAAAACGTAATAGGGTGGTATCATGGTAGAATGAATAGATTAAGTTATACTCGCGCATTTTGGGTGGGTTTCTGGTTCTTCCGTGTGAATCGCAATTATCCACTGGCGGCGATGCTGGAAACACCGCACCGGCATGACGCCTGCGGAGCGCTGTGATCGTCGTAGACAGCGTCGAGTAATATCCTGTTGCTGCACTGCTCGCTTTGCCAACCAAGGACGAGGCTCTTCTGTGCAGACGAACTCTTATACGCGGTAGCGTTATGGCCGGCTACTTGTTCGCATTTTAATGCATCAGAGTGGCAGCTTGCCACGTTTGCTCGGAACAACAGATGCGCGCCTTCGCTCAGCATATTATGGCGTAGGTGCAACAGTATTCATCCCTATTGCTAGCAGCCTAGGTGTGAAATGGCGTTCTCTGGTGTATACTCACTTTCCATGCATCCTGGTATTTTGATAGCCTGGGTTGCCGCTCGAGAAGTTCGGTTTCGGCTAGAGCGAAGGTCACGGCGAGAAGGAGAATCCCAAACGATTTCAGATCTATGCTAATCGTCGCCTTCATGTTGGTCAAAGGGGTGAACACAGGGATTCTGAAATAGAACAGGAAAAAAAGATATTTTAATGTTTAACGAAATCATACATTGAATATACTTCAGCGAAACGAACACAGTATTTGACCGAATTGACACAGAAATCTCGCAATATTCTGATTTTGGAATTTCGCAAGCACAAGGGAAAACTACTGAAGAAACTGCAAGGACGATTTTAATGTAAAAGTGGTTTAAGTGTGCTATGGGTGCGCATCTTGTGCCTTAGAAAGCAAGGATATACCCGCCACGGTGGTCTAGTGGCTAAGGCACCCGGCTGCTCACCCGCAGGTCGCGGGATCGAATCCCGACCACGGCGGCTGCATTTCCGATGGGAGCAAAAATGCTTGAGGCTTATGGGTCTGTATTTTGGTGCACGTGAAAAGAACCCCAGGTGGTCACAATTTCCAGAGCCCTCCACTACGGCGTATCATAATTATATGGTACTTTAGAGATGTTAAGACACAGACAGCAAGGATATGACTACTGGCAACGAAGGGAATTAATTAGGAAAGTCAGTCGATTATGAGAAGCCTTGCAATGCTAGCAAGGATTATTGATGATTGATATGTGGGGTTTAACGTCCCAAAACCACAATATGATTATGGGAGACGCCGTAGTGGAGGGCTTTGGAAATTGTGACCACCTGGTGTTCTTTAACGTGCACCCAAGTCTGAGCACATGGGCCTACAACATTTACGCCTCCACCGGAAATGCAGCCGCCGCAGCCGGGATTCAATCCCATGACCTGCGGGTCAGCAGCCAAGTACCTTAGCCACTAGACCACCGCTGCGAGGCACAATGCTAGCAATGGTTCACACGTTGTGACGTATTGGTCACAATTGAGGAATCTTTCGCTGTCTTAATTCCTTTCTGTAATTTACAAGAGGTGGAGACACACTTTGAGTAGAATTGAAGGTACGCAGTTTATTAAAAAATACGAAATTTATTGTCATATAAGATAATTCCGAAAAAACTTGATTGTGCATAAAGCATTTTGTGTAACGAGCGACGTGCCACTGTTAGACGTGCCACTATTAAAGCTGAATGTTTTAATAATGCTGTATCATTATAAATGTCTTGAAAAGTGCACAACACAGAAAGTCACACAAGCGAGACTTGAAAAGTTCTGATACTTTGGTAGACATTGCAGTACAAAAAATACCGTCTTTCTCCGTAGGTTCCGCCCGAGCTGTTTTATTAGTGCTTTATAGGCGCTAAATGTTCTATTCTCTGAGTTTTACAGGGAAGATGATGGTACCTCATGCGTAATTATCTCAGGTATTAAGGATTGCTACTGTGTCGTGTATCTTTCATTCTTCAACTGTAATATTTTATATGAAACCACCTTTTTATATTACTTGCGTACATATGTTCTCCTTTTTTGGAACATCCTGTAATACTACTATCTCAAATTACCAAGTACTAGCAGCTATGAGAGGCGATTCTGTGAATAGCGGAGGCGTTCAGTGATGCTTTGTGACACTATACTGCAATATATGTGAGCAGTTCTTCGGACGCGCAATATGTCTTGATGAAAAAAAAAAACTTGGTAATGGATTCCACTTTAGCGAACTTGTACCTAACCCGTGCTTTACGACAGCACGAAAGTAGAACTCAGTAGACAAGAAGATAGGTGTTAACCAGCCAATGTAACCACGATAAGTTGGTTCACACTGAAACTAATATGTTTCAGCAAAAAAGAAAATACACTTGGAAGGATAACAGATATTTTGTTCTAGTTGAAAAAAGTTTGTCCTGCTTAAGCAATTTTTTAATACAAACGTGATTGTGCATAAATATCTGCTGTGGCACTATATATGGACGTATAATAACAAACTTGCGAATACATCAACCTATCTTAATATTATAGCCATGCAAAACTATTGTAAATCTGCTATCAATAGCATTGGTAGTTTTTTTTTTCGAATTGACGACAGTTCTATCGAAAGCTCTATCATTACACGTGTTAGTGCAAGAAACTATAGTTAGTACCGCTATTAGTTAACGTTTACCTTTATCTTTCGCGTCGATGGTATCTTTAATAGTATCATCAGTACTATTACTCGCGACTTTGGAGTAGCATAGGGTAAAACGCAGAAAAAAATTGCGATACAGTAAATTTTAACTTTATTTCACTCTTTACCATGAAAAGTGAATGCAGAAACTGTTGCTTTGGGTGCAAGGTATGTGCTGCATAAATATGATCATTTCGCTTTACATTCAAAGGGTTGTTTAAAAATTAATAAGACATGCGCTATATATCTCATTTTGCCCCAACTTGCCGGGCAAAATGAAACAGTGTGAAAAAAGTTCATCCTGCCAGCTTTTGCTGTATAAGCAATTGCAGTATAAGCAGTATACGTATAAGCAATTTACAGTATAAAAATTCACGGCGTGGGCACACATGAAGTCTTCAAGAGCCCACTCCTTGCACTCCACACAATGAATAAAGACATAAACAGGCGCTGTGTTACTCCAAGGCTTCTAGCAGCTCATGCATTCCCAGTTTTAGGATAGAAGCTCTTTATAACGACACCTGTTCATCCCTCGTGGCCGTAGTAGTGGTGTTTAACAAGTATTACATTTTGAGCTCTAATGTGGTGCTGGTGAGAGATTTCTTCTGCGCGTTGTTGAACAATAAAAAAATAGTGCTCAATGTACATGCCAATGGGTGCTAAGGGGGAATGAGAGACAGGAGAATTCGGCTTTTAGTTAACGCGCACGCTGCAAATTTTTTATTGTTAAACAACGCACAGAAGACAAGAAAGGGTTGCTACGTTATACTCGCTGAGTGTTACCTCCTAGGTTTTAGAAAAGTTTAGCGAGTGTTGGGCCACAGTGCCATGAATACAGTGAACTAGTATATACCATGAACTCGAGGTGGTTAAAGGTGGGAAGTAGACACGAAGCGCAAGCCGTAAGAAAGTGTGCGTGTGCCTCCTCTCGTTCAGTCCTTGGAATGTCCGCTGGATGGCGGTGCTTCTATACGAGGAATATATGATGAAACATTCGAGATGGTGGTACTTGAAGTGTTGAATAGGTGGACGAACGAACACACAGACAGATGCATGGACGGGCGCCCGGATGGTTGCACGGACGGATGGAGGCATGGACGGACGCAGGAGCGGATGCATGGACGAACGCAGGGACGGACGCACAGATGAACGTGTGAACGCACGAACAGACGCGCGCACGGATGGGCGGATGGACGCACGGGCGGCCACACAGACGCACGCATGAATGGACGGAAGCAAGAACGAATGGACGGACTAATGCCTTGCCCCACTATCAATAGTTCACTCCGTGGATATGCTGCCATTTTTTTCTTTGTGCTAATGGTGTGTTCTGTTGAATGCATGCCCTTCCTTAGATTGTTCATTGATGAAAGGCTAGATATGTTCTGGCACATATTCTTCACCAAGTTTTGCCGTTTTGATGCAGAACTGCACCTGCATTTTGTGGCGTTTGACTTCGTAAGTAGGGCTTTGTGAGGCTATGAATTTCAGATTTCCTATCATTTGTTATTTTTAAATTTCAGTATAAAAACAATTCCAATAAAACTCGATTCAAAGACACGTTTGTGAACGGCTTCACTTGGAGATTCTTTCAATTTTTTTCATGCGCCTCTTGAGAGTCTCTTAGAAACGCGGGACAGCCTCGAAGTCACGCGGATGGAGAGAGTGTTGTCCTCAATAGCAGTTAGTGTTTTAAAGACGATAGTGTTTTTTGGGCACCTTAGACGCAAAAAAGTTCATCTGTCTGTCTGTCTGTCTGTCTGTCTGTCTGTCTGTCTGTCTGTCTGTCTGTCTGTCTGTCTGTCTGTCTGTCTGTCTGTCTGTCTGTCTGTATGTCTGTTTGTTCGCCCTTACCGGCACCCTAAAAGACACCGGGGTGACCGGCCGATACCCCAAACAGCCGACCCCATCCGCAGCGCCCACCAATATTGCTCAAGGTTGAGCGTTCATACTTGTGCGATTGTCAATTAAAAAGCAATTATTGCGCATATCTGAGGCACCATAACAACACATCAATATTCTGTATGTATATACTTTACTAGACAGCGCATACATAAACAATTATAAGGACCATAGCGTTTATCACGTTGCGCGGACAATGCAACGCTTGCACGAAAGGCAAGAGTTTCCAACGCTTTGCTAAGACGACAAGGTGGTGGCACTTACTCGTCACTTGCGTTCTGCACATTATCACCGCCGAGACGGGCCCGCACGCCGCGCGTGTGCTTTGTTTTCTAAGGAGACATTAGAGCCAGATGGCTCTAATGTCTCCCGTGCGACGTGACTTGATGCGTTCGTTCGCCTCCGCGGCACGCTTGAGGCACTCTAACGCAGCGCCTCTAGAATACCATACAATAATTGTCTTTCACAGAACATCAAATAAACGTTTTGTTCACTTTCTCCAGACGCAAGACTATCGTCTTTCGACGACATTTGCAGTGTAACATGCAGAAACGAGGCCATTTTTTTTCGTTTCCTATCCATGAAGCTCTATAAAGTATTTTCTTGTACGTCCTAACCCTCCTAAACAAAAATATAATATACAAATATTATGAGTAATTTGTAACTAGTTCACTTATTAGGACACTCTCTAAGGCCTTTCGGTGCATTTCTGTCGCTCTTTGTTCTTCCCACATGCATGAAAAAAACATTCCGCTTTGGCACCATGCACCGAATGAACCAAACTTTTGTTGGTATGTAGCTAGTAGTAGAGAGTAACAAGATACTTACGTAGGTTGCTGTACTGACGCCAGCGTAGCCTCATTAACAGATCTAAATATTTTGCCGAGCAGGATTTCGCCCCCTTTTTGACGGATCACAAACACACCCACACCAGCCGCGTAATTTTAGGGGCGACGCTCTTTATGGTGTGGGTCTGTCCTTCCTCCGTTGTTGTACGTAGCCACTGGTGGCACATACCACTCTAGAGCGGGTATGTGACACAGGGCATGCGAGATGGGTGATGGCGGTACTTAGAGTATTCAC